TTTGAAAAAAAAAAAAAAAAAGTGGCTGGGTTATATTACTCACACGGGTCTTTGTGTAATAGGAAGTATACAAAAAATATATAAAACTTACTTTAATTTTAACGTTACACAATCAATAGTAACCAGCACTACAAATTTCCCGCGTATCATCAAATGAACCAACTAATATGTGTTGACACTCGCCTTATATATGCACTTTATATTCCAGTATTCCTCCCGATAGCACGAGATTTCAACAGTGGCGGCTGAAATTATCAAGTTACCTCGCCGTTTTCAAGTAGCCCCGTTTTAGGTACTTAGTTTTTCTTGCTTAAAATTTTGACAACTGTCATTACAAGATCCATCAAAACATAAACATAGATTTCGAGGGTTGCAATGTCATGGATTAGACACGCCTGATTATAAACCATTATCAACATTATCTCCTTGTCATATGTATAGCTGTGTTTACTTTGAACGCATGTTGGAAATAATTATGAAATAGTTGAAACTAGTTTCATTAATAGTTGAAACCTTTCTAGACAGTTGAATTTTCATTTTTNAATAATTATAAAATAGTTGAAACTAAAGTTTCATCAATAGTTGAAACCTTTCTAGACAGTTGAATTTTCATTTTTTTTGGAACATTTCAGATTTGAAAGGCATCTAGTTATAGTTTTATTTTGGAAGGTGAGCCCTGAACTCTTTGCAATTTCACAGAAACTGGATATAAAAGTAGTACTTGAACATTTTTGAGTGGGAAAAGAAATTTATTTGAAACTGTTAAATTGGCGTTATTTGATTTCACCCCTTTCCTCACTCCCGTATCCAAAATGTCAATAAAAAGAAGTATTGAAAAATTATCTAGTGGATATGTATATAAAAAACGAATGAAACAAATCAGTAGTATTAACCAAGTTTAATTACACAAAAGTCACTCAATATTTGAATGAGAGTAGAGCAGTTGTTATCAACATTGCCATCAGAAAACAAAAATTATTTTGCAATAGATAAGTTTTTGTCACACATCAAAAATTCATGAATCACCACAGGATGATGAAGAATAGTTCTTAATCGTAACACAACTCTATACATTAAATACTCGCAGTATACTTGAAGTAAATAATATAATATTGTCCTCTTTTTCATTTGTTTCTTCATTTTGCTGGGGCAGTAGCAGCATTTTCTGCACCATCTGTCTTGACCATTTTGCCAGAATCACCTAAAAAATGTTTCCAATATGATCACTAGTTGCTAAAGAAGTTTTGCGCTAAAAACTAATAACAAAATTTGGGCACTTTTCGAAATTAGTATCAAGATTCAAATCTGAATGAGGTTCCACCATGGTTATGAAGAACTCTTAACAGAATAATATCAACAAAAACATCTATTGCATATAATGGCACATTATTATTGAGTATACCTAACAAAGAATACTGCTAAAAGTTCAATAGTTGATCATAAAACGAGATAGGCATGATGCTCTTCAAATGGCTCAGGGAGTTATTAACAAACTATCCCAAATATAATGTCCATGACCATGAGCAGATGCCGCTGACATCAAGGAGAAAACAAAATGTCATTTTAACATAAAATTTGTATTGACATTTAGGAAAATTCCATGCCATTTGCCTGGGTCCTATCTGAATATACTATTGTTGACCGTCTTATTGATTACATGCAGAATACACAGAACTAAAACTTTGGGTTGAAAATTAGATGACTCATTCACTTTATTGTGAGATTTTTCACTAAACATTTTACAAAAAGGCATTGCTAGCAAGTACTCGCTAACAACACCAAATCTTTTCTATTTGCATTCGATTTGAAGCTTTTGGCAAATAAGATCATCAGGTTATCAAATCATCTAAAAGAACAATTCGTTCAGGCCAGTCTCAACTCCCTACACGGTAGGTTAATGGACTGACACCTATCAGAAAACAACTACTTCCCAGGTTAATACCATAAAGGGCGTTGGATTATATCCGACAGGCGTCAGTGCAGGAGTCTTCACTGAAGTTATTCCTGCATATGTTTTTGGCAAAACAACTGCTTCCCTGGCTGATACCATAAAGGGCGTTGGATTATATCCTACAGGTGTCAGTGCAGGAGTCTTCACTGAAGTTATTCCTGCATATGTTTTTGGCAAAACAACTGCCGGAATCGATTTTTATTTATTGGAAGGGTCACACTTGCAGACAAATTGTAAAAGTTGACTCAGCCGAAATAATGTGAGTGGAGCTTCAGGTTGCCATTCTTATGGCTATTGCTATTGCCGTCTTGAAGCAAAACTATTATGAAAGTTAACTGTTCTGTTTCATCTCGATGCTGTCTAGATATTATGAAGAAAACCATCTTCTTCAAAGTGACATGATTCAAGACATTCAGTTACTTCCAATAAAAATTTGTAATCGACAAGCCAAGCCTGAAAGATGATTCACTCATACTCCCCTGAGTCCTACGTAATACTCTCATTAACATTGCCTACCCATCATACTCGTATATTCATTTGAATACTGGATAATTTTCAAGAACGATGTTTGCACAACATGGGTACCAGTTACGTGTATATCATTTTTTGGGATAGCAACGGTTCTTCTTCTGACGAATCCATTTGGGATCTGCCTCCTTCATGAATGAGTTGAAAATTCAGGTAAAAAAGCGATGGTTGCTTCGGTAGTTTTTTCACATATCAACTCAATGTTCCATAATCACAACGGGAAATTTTGTTCGCATCAGATTTCAAATGAGTAGATGAAACTACTAGTAAAAAAACTCAACGTTATAAAACATTCCTCTACAGAAATCCTTAGTTTCTAGTAATTTGAACAGAGAAAATTTTAATCTTCCAAATACTTTCTTGCAGGTATAGCTGTATGTATCGTTATATGATCATTTGAAACATATTCTAAAGTGTAACTTGATCCCTAGTATAATTGAGAAAAATTAACAGGATGATTTCTATGGCAGGAATTTGGTTTGAACATTTTATATGAAAGGAAGATATTCACTAAAATAAAAAACGACCAGTTCGAGGGCATATATGGAGATGAAGATTCGACTCCATTATAGGTTTCTACCCTGCATGATAGTACTTCATCTCCAATCGAAGTTATTATCTTGTTTTCATTCATTTCGTCGCCATAAAATCTAGAAAATATCGACCAAATATCGACCTACAAATATTGAGGAATATTAATTCTGGCAGGAATGCTTTCAAGACTGATCGTGAACAGATTGGATTCAAAATTACAAACCATATAGAGAGAAATTCATGACACAAATGGGAAATAAATGCGCCAGAGGTGTCATCTGTCCTGCTCCGAATAGTAGAGGGAACATCTCCAGCACGACAAATCGTTATTTTTTATTGAATGGCAGTGAATTCAGAATGCACGGT